CTTTTGGGGTCAAGGCAGACTCGCAATGACCCATCCTTCTTCAGGGCTGTGGTGAGGGAACTGCACCAATCCGTGTGATGAGTAACTTTCCTAATGATGCCGTTACTTTCCATCTGATCCAGCTCTTTCTTGAGCTTGTCCCTCAGGTGGATGCTGCATTTTCGAGGCGCATCAATTGATGGAGTTGCATCCTTCTTCAAGTGCAACGTTGCCTTGCCACTGAAGTTCCCAATCTGGTCAAACTGGTCTGGGTAAGCCGCCTGTAGGTCTTTAGCTGACCTGATGGGAGGAAGATCATTTGGACTGTCCAGGCTCGTCTGTTGTTCTACTGTGTGAATCGTAACAATCCCTAGCTTTCTGGAAGTAGGAAGTCCGACAATGACTGGTCCCTTTACGTCCGCAACATACCATGTTTGGTCTACGACCCAAGGCGACCCTTCATACATCATCGACATCATCAAGGTGCCTAAGCAGCGTAAAGGCGTTTCTCCGTAGGCAGATAGTCGCGTAGTAGTGGGACGGATAACATCTTTCCATCGAGCCCTGTACATGTCCTTCAGCGTCCGCAGTGGCAGAACATTACCGCTGGCTCCTGTGTCAACCTTTGCATTGAGGCGGTGATGACCCCTCAGGTCTGGACATATGATGTTGATACTCGCATATGCTTCGGTCTCCTCCGAGTCAATAGAGTTTAGCGATATATGTATCATGTGGAATTCACGTTCCCCACTGTCCGGTTGGTTTGTGTCGTCCGGTCCAATTTCGTCAACCTTACGCTGGTTCCTGCTATGAAAGGATGTAGGCCTATACTGCCTGTTTCTGGGCTGTCTCTGCTGTGAGCTCCACCTGTCTTGTGATGGTGGACGTCTAGGAGGGATCTTCGGTTTGACCTGTTCCTTCGTCTTTCGACACATCTTCGCCCAGTGTCCTTTGACGCCACACGAATTGCACAGGTCCCCGAAGGCTGGACACCTCTTTGGAAGGTGTGAAAGACCACAGTTCCTGCATTTCTGCCTACTGTCGTGACTAACAGCATCAATGTTCCCACTTCCAATGGTGTGGAGCGTCTGCAGGCACTGTTTACCGACTTGAATGGCCTCATATTTGCGGCCTTCTTCAAGAAGCTTATCAATTGAGAACCCCTTTTCTTTGTCGAGTAGGTCTTTCTGAAACGACTCGAGTTGTGTAGACGAAATCACCAGCTCTATGAGTCTTTCACTCAATTCCCCCTCGGTGAACTTGCATTCCTTTGCCTTACTCCGACATCTATTGACGAACTCGTCGATCGTTTCTCCAGACATCTGCTTGTATCGCATTAATTCGAGACGATGAATCCTGAAGTTCACTTTGACATTCAGTTGGCCTTCGATTAGGGCCCATAGCTTGCTTGGGTCCTTCTGATCCTCTACACCGAGGCTAGAGGCGTTTATCCTGCGTAACCCTTCGTTCCCAAGAGCTATCTTTATTTTTGTTGCCTGTTTTGTAGTATCAGTTATCTCATTATCGAGAAGGCAAAGTTCCATTCGCTGTTGAAATAACGTGAATTCTTCAGCGAGACCACACTGAGGGTCCCACTTCATCTCTGGATAGCGAGCCATGGTCCTGGTTTCTACAATGGGGTCTTGGACTACACAGGTAATTACATGTAATACATGAATTGTGACTTAAATCGACATGTAGGCCTACATAGCAATTAACATTTACACTATAGACTAGATCTATATGTACAACTTCAAAATGTAGGTTCAAATGTATCAAAATATATCAAGTCTAGACCCATAGACAATTAGACCCCCTTGTGTAAGTGGTCTAGCAAAGACAACTGGTCCTGGACCCGCTTTAAGGGGATACCACGGACCACTGTTTGGTCTAGACTCTATAGTACAAGTGGCAGTAGAGTCTACCACCACTAGATCTAGATCTAAGTTAGTAATAGTACATCAGCACTTCTACATACATGTAAGAGATATGTGTGTATCATTCACTTAATTAGGACAGGTCCACATGTAGAAATTGGACTTGTTAAGGTCTAAAGTAAACACATCTAGAAATCTAGACTAGGCCTAGTCCAGATCTAGACCAGGTCCAGTAATATAGAACAAGGTGAAAGTAGACTAGATTTTGATCAAATTACACCTCATACTCATTCTCATACTCGGTCTAGTCTAGATCCATAAGTGGATTCTAGACTAGAAAAAAGTGTCTAGACTATCTATCTAGGCTAGGTCTTGATCTAGACCCCTAGACTAGACTAGACTCTAGTCCAGTTTTATACGACAAACAAAGCACATTAATTATGGTTTAATTGTTTCAAACCGAGTCCAAACATTATATGTCTGCTTAGATTATAGTCCATTTGATTGAGAGTCTAATCTAGTTTTCATTCCACAATCAGATCCGGCCAAGTCCAGCAATCAGTCCTGGATCTACTTGCACGGTCCGCAACACGACGCTCTGGGTCCGAGTGGCGGCTAGTTCCAAAACCATAATGCAGTGCAGGGCTGGAAGTCCGAGGTAGCGGCCTTAGAGCTGTACTGTTCCCGGTCCCGGTCGAGCCTCTAGGCTCTGGTCTTGTCGAGCCTCTAGGCTCTTCTCCTGACGAGCCTCTAGGCTCTGCTCCTGGCGAGCCTCTAGGCTCTGGTTCTGCCTCCGCATCAGTTCTGGTCCTGAATGTATAGGGCTTTAGTCTGACAGTCAATACACTAGTCTACTCGTAGTGTTTCCCGCGTAATATAGTGCGCAACCTTACGCCGACAAAGTCATATTGGAGACGCGGCTGTGAGTTTACTCTGCTGGCTGTGCAGTGTGATTGTCGGCAGTTCAAAAACCGTCCCTTATCAATCTTTCATAAGTCATTCAAGATTATTGCTTGCCCTATGTGATCTGCAGTTCGATAGTAATAGATATGGCAATTCTTTTGACCGCTGCCACCATGTTGAAAGATCAGATGAACGGATAAATAAGAGATCACTGTAGACAAGGTTCATGTATAAGTGGCCATCTTGAAAGTGCTTTATTCATGTATCCTTCCGCCAATCGCGGCCTCATTACGCACATCAATGAACTATTGATGTTGTTCATATAGTACCACAACAGTGACCACCTCTGTATAAAGGCCATGTATTTTGTCTCCTTTTTGAAAGAAGTATGATGGTATTACCTGTCTACAAAGGCCACTTTTTTCTGTCTCCCTTGGGTATTAATGTACCTTTAAAGGCTTTAATATACAGGTTTTAGGTTTGTACTTTTTCCTACGAGTACTATACTGGAATATAATTTCAAAATTTGAAAGCACCATGAAATCTAAAAATGTTACCTTAAATTACAGTATTAGTAGACCTACAGGTACATTATTTGACTTTTTATTTTTGTAGGACCCTGGCTTTTGGGCTCATTTTGATCTCCTATAACTTTAAAATAAAGTGAGCTATTGGATTGATGTACATGTACATGTAGACATTATTATTATTATTATTATTATCTATTTGACAAATCAGAAATCATACAATGAGTTTAACAGTCGGATAATAGATAGAAATTTCATAATACATGCGAACTGCAATAGAAAGGTGGAGAGGAGAGAGAGAGAGAAAGAGAGCGAAGGATACAATCTGCTGGTCAAGGGTGACAAAAGCAATTGAAATTGCTATTCAAAGCATGTCATGTCACCCCCCCCCCCCCTCTCCATAATGAAGAACAGGATGTGATGTGCAAAGTTCTGGAACAATTTAGTGTTCCATTCACACAATTTATTATAGAGTTCTAATCCTTCTTTTGTCACCTATTACATGTACAATACCTTGTGAGTAGGAGGGCTTCATTAGACCACAGATCATAGTAAATCCCCTATTCCCCGAAGTCACATTCTTTAGAACTGGACACGCTCCTTTTTTTTGATGGGTTAGGAACATCCCATTGTGATGATTTTTGTTTTAAATATCATAATCTCCTCTTTTATAGGATCAAAATTGAATTAAAATTTCATATCTGGCGAAATGTTTGTAGTTTTTGTGAAGCCTGTTTACATAATTTGGCCTTTATACAATGGTACACTTGTAGGAGATGTTAGTCATTGACAGTTCAGACTCTTTAATTCCTTACATGCCATACAAGTAATCTTCCTGATCGAGCCACTTTGTGATTCTAGGTATTATATCATGAACAATGTATACTGTACATACATTGAAATCTACAATATCTATTTAAAATCAAGGGTTTCTCCCCAAATATACTACTACATGTAGGGTCTTTGGTATAGAGACTACAGTATTAGGGGTTATGTACACATACAGTCATGGTACTATTCTACAATTAGCCTCTAATTAAAATTGACTTGTACATGTATGTTCAATTGTTAAACTTTATCAGAGTGCAAAGAAAGCAAAATGGTTTACATCAAGGAGGTGGGAGTGACAGACTCCCTACACCCTCCCTGTGGAGAACACAAACGGCACACCCTTTTTTTTTTATTGGTTTAAAGATTTTTTTTCTTTCTACTCTCAGAAAACTTTAGACTATTACATGTATGTCTCAGGAGGCTTTTTCAGCTTTTTCAGCCTGCCATTTAAGTGTGTACTTCTTGATATGAAAGAAAAAAAAACAGACAAAGAAGAGAAAGAACATTTCTTTCAAAACATATTTAGAAATTCTAAAAGAATTCTTATCATGAGAGATATTTTGATTTCAACGTTATTTAGTGAATGTGCTTGAACTTTGGATGAGGTTTTACCTTTGATTTAATATTGAGTGATTATAATTTTGACCTAAACTGTACTTGTCACTGATGGACAAATTAAAACAGTGAATTAGAGTAGAGCCCAGATGTACTGTATGTAATACTTAAGTTTTTTTAAAAATAAAATGCAATCCAAATAAATCTACATGTCTAGTAGATTATCTACAAAGGGGTAACATTATTTGCATACATGTGTACATGTACATGTACATTTCTAATCAATCCTTGAAGTTAATTACTCAATATTTCTCACTTTCCAATCCAGCTCGACTGCACCATCCTGCGCCATGAAGCCTTGGGCTCGACTCCTGTGATAGGCGCACCAATGAGGATTGTGTGATGAATAAGGATTAGGCGCTCATCAATAATTGCTTGACACACACAGGAGACGTGGTGGGTGTGAAGACGAAAATCCAGCCAAGATGTACGTCCCGGAAGGTGGCAGGGTGGAAGGAGGCGAACAAGAAGGTAAGGATTAAAAAGCATGCCTGATAAAAACCGATTTAAATTGGTTTTCCGATTCTTTTTTATTTTTCCTGATTTTTTCCTGATTCCCCCCTTATTTTCTCTATTCTTCCCTATTTTGCCCTATTTTTTTCTCAATTTTCTTACTCGAAAGGGGGGAATGTTGTTAGATGCTATTTTTTCCCCGCAAATCCGCTTCTTTTTTTTTACTCAAGGGGGACGTGGTTGAGGGGAAAACAAAAAACCTTTTTTTTGTTAGTGCCCACTAAACACCCCTGAAAAGGAGTATTTTGAACTTTACTCTTTATATTCTATGGTTTCTCTAGTCAGAATTAGGTAGTCAGAATGACCCCTTCCTCCTTCTTCATCCACTGCTCACTGCCCCCCCCCCCCAAAAAAAAAAACAACAACAAAAAAACAAAAAACACACACACACACCAGAACAACAACAACATACATGTAAGAAGAAGGGGAATGGGTAACTGGTAGTCATACATGTAAGTACCCCCTAGCTTGCATCTGCCCCCTCCTCCCCCCTTCTATCCTGCCGGCACAAACAAAATAAAATGAAAATACTCTGCCACTGTGCCAGTATATTCCCAAAGTTGACCGGGTGAAAGAAGGCAAACATTTCAATTCAATTCAATTTTATTTCACATCTCTTTCAAAACACATCAGAAGATATTCAAACAAATCAATAATACATGTACATTGTATGTACATGGCACTATGAAAGAAGGATGAAGGGTGATGGGTGCAAGGGATCAACAAAGGCCATTGGCCTGTCAAGGCCAATCCCCTATTTACCTGTAACCACACTTCAAGAAACATGCAATGGTATGTCTTGAAGTTTTTCACCACAATTTTTCAGTTAGAATGATCCCCTGCCCCCCTGCCCCCCTGCTCCCCTGCTCAAGCGATTTATGTTAATGAACCTTCATGTTCCAGCACCAATTCTCTCTGATTGCTGGCATATCCAGTACTTCCCTCCAGTACATGTACCGTAATTAACGGTGTATAAACCGCCCTCGTGGATTAACCGCACCCCTCTTTTAAAAAAAAAACCCATGCAGGAAGGCCTTTCATTTAACTGTGAGGTGCAGTTGAATGTGTCAGATCATTAATTTAAATTGAAAAACAGTAGAGGACCTAGGATAGAACCTTGTGGTACACCATATAATAGAAGAAAAATTGGGGAATTATTATTATAAACTACATGTACATACAGGTGTATTGAGATCTATCAGAAAGATTACTTTCAAACCAAGATGACAGACAAATTTGAGTGTTCTAGTTTACGAGTGGTGAGTCAACACACCGATTACTGAGCTGGGAGACATTGCCAGGCATAGCGCCAGATGGAGGGGCATACCTGTTTTTGTACCTGTGTATAAACCGCACCCCCGATTTTGATTTTTTTTTCAGCGGCAAAAAAGTGTGGTTAATACACCGTTTATTACGGTACCTTCTCCACATAAACTCCAGGAGACCAAATTTCACAATACATTGTGAGTTTGGGTACCCGGTAAACAGGATGGTGACAGAGTAATCTGATACGGATTTAGTGAAAATATTTTGTTTTCATTCACAAGAATTCCTTATAAAAATGCGATTCTTGATACAAGAAATAGTTTGGAATCCTCTATAGGAGAAGCATAATTTAGTCTGTTTCACTTGACTGGTACATGAGATGCTTCGAGCATGGGATTTCACCCTTTCATGAATGACTATAAAAATGTTCACGTGGAAGTATTAAATAGAAGAGTTAATCGAGTTCTGACGTGTAATGTACTCAATTCATTTGTCTATGCTACATGTACAGTACAGTAGGCCTGTAGGGCATTTGGTAAAAATGGAGCTGTGTGCAGCACTTAAACGACTTACTACAAAGGATAGATTACTCCATTCATAAACCAACAATACAGTGCAGTCAGGGGAAGAAGCATTGGCCTGTGGAAACTTGATTACCACCTTTCTTTTTGTCACTTTACATGGTCGTTCACTATACATCTAGGCCTGTTTTCATCAGCTCGAGTATGCCAAATAACCCGCTATGTTAACTATCCCGTTAATTTGGGTCCTTATCAGCCCACAGTTGTAATTAGCGGGATATTTGGTTTAGAAAATAGCCAGAGAAATCTTGTTCTTGTCTCTGAAATATCCAGCTATTTGGGAAATAAGGGGCTAATTCGCCATTGTCCGAGCTAGTTTGTGATGAGCGTATCGGTCTGGTGAAACTTTGGCAAACTCAAGCTGATGAAGACAGGCCTTACAGTGTATGAGTTGCGTTGAATGGGCTGAGCGAATTACCTCTGCGCTCAAGATAATTTTGTGTAGTCCCTATTTGATTATGATATAAATTAGTTTTCTTTTCCTTTCTGTCTTGTCACAAGTACTGTACAGTATACATGTACATGTACATGTACTGTAATATACAGACATTGGGCCTATAAATGTGTTTGAAATTAACAGAAAAAAGAACAAACATTGGACATTTTGTTAGGTCCCTAGCTCTCTTGTACTGCTGTACATGTACATGTAAATACACCTGGGAAGTGTTTCACAAAGGCTAAGATCGAATTAACTATGGCAGGCCATTCATGCCACTGTTTGCTATCACCATTATGATCTGTAGATTATATCTTTTTCTTCAATAATGAATTATCAACAAATATAAATTCTGTAGATTTGTGACCATGATTTGTACGTCCATTGAGAGACCAATGCCAGTAAACGGTGAGAGCAAACAGTGGCATGAATGGTCTGCCATAGTTGCGTCCAACTTAAAGGTAAAGACCAGTAATGGTCATGCGATTGCATTGTGAAAGAAACGTTGTGGAATCGATCAGAAAAGGTTGATCATCTAGCATCTAGCATCTGCAAGGTTCTGGAATCATCAAAATGATAAGAAATTTGGCCCATTCTTCGTAAAGTTACAAGCACTATACACAGAAAGATGTATATGGGACTACCCTATCTCTCTCACCAGACCATGAGAGAATTAAATTTACCAAATATATGAATTAGTAGGCGGTTTCCCGGCACATTTTTTATCATCATGTATTAGTCAAAACATATTCTTTCACATGATTGGTAATGAGAGCTTCCATTTCATTTTTTGAAATTGGGGCGTTGCCAATACTGGTCTTTACCTTTAAAGTCATTCTTAGGCTGCGTTCATGCTTAAATTTTGAAGGCAGAATGAGCGATCTGAAACGCTCATCGTAAACGCTCATCGTGATCGCAGTTCCACGATGTAGTGTTCATGCTTACTTCTCTGGCTCCCCCAGGCAATTCTCAGTGTGTGGCCTTAATTGGTCTTCCAGCTGGATTCGCAAACCTTCACTGTGCATGCTACGTAGACCCACTAGAGGTCAGTGCGTTGACCCCATTTAAACGCGTTTACAAATTGTAAACGCATATTTTTGTGAGTTTACGATCGGCGATCGTGATCGCCGTTTTTCGGTGATTCTACAAAAGTGAGCTAAGACGCAACCGTGTTTTAAACTAAACGCGTAACAGATGCCTGATTCTGGCCGTCAAAATCAAGCATGAACGCGCCCTAAGTCTTGTGAAACAACCCCCAGGATACCCACAGAAATCCTTTATTTTCTTTTTGATAGAAAAGACAAAATCAAACAAAACCAAGCAAACAAAACAACAATAATGTCAACAACGACAACATCACCAACAGCAACAACAACAACAACAACAACAACAACAACAACAACAACAACAACCTCAACACCACCAACAACAAAATTAAGAATGCTCTGCTCCAACATGATAGGAGTGTGTACTGCACTGTACTATGTCATATTATCAGTTGTACAGTATGTAGGTGACAATTTTTACATGTCTGTACATGGCAAATCACAAGTTTCAAATATCCTTTATATGAAGTTCTTTGATCTTCTTCAGTTGTTGATATGCTTTTATTGAGAAAATAAATTGGTACCAGGGTGGATTTTCCCTTTAATGATTTCATACATGAGTCGAAATGAAGTTCTGAGCAGGGGAATTGGCTTTTTGAATGAACGAGAGAGAATACGTTTGTCCAATTTTGGGAAAGTTCCCTCTCTTCATATCAATCTTCAATATCTAATTCTGAAATCGGAAATGAGAGAGATCTCCTCGCGACATCTAACGCTGAATAAATAAACTTCAAGGCCGCAGTCGGAGCCTGGGACATATAATCGTCTGTTTGGAGCCAGAAGGTATTAAATGCACGTACAGTGTGTAACTCTGTGTATTAAAAATGATGTAAAAGAACGCCCTTTTGGCTATAGACGGACAAAATGAGCCGTGCAAAATCGTGGCAGATACTCGGAGGAGGAAGGATCAATGGAAATTTGGAGGAAATGAAATCGAAAGTAGGGATAGAAATACATTTTATGAAGGATTTAAATGTACATGTACAGTATAGTATTACATTACATGCCCATTGTATATTGTAATTACGGCGCTTGCATGGTTTATGATATTTTGACAGAAAGGAGAGTTTAATAGCCCTAAACTATAAAGGAATGATTTGTGTCAACTTTTTCGTTGGCATTTTGGTGAAACTTGAAAGGTCGCAAATTCAAATCTATTGAAGTCAACTTATAAATGGTCAACAATGTGAATTTGTTGTAAGAATTCATATAACTTTGTTTTAATTTATTTTGTTGTTCATCCATTATGTCTGGATTCACCTTGGTACAAGTGTAACAAAATATTTCTTGCAGAAATGTAAGAATATATAGTTTTTTTAGTGGAGATATGCTAGGAAGGTGAACACAGAGTTTAATACATGTACATGTAATTTCCATCAAGAAAAACTTCATAACAATACCCTTGTCTTGATCAGATTTTCATCAAAATTTTCCCTGGTCTGCTTGTTCCATATTTTCCTTTATTACTTTTGAGGAAAAGATTACAACACGTACTAGATGCAAGCACGGGCCGCGCTATAACCATACAGCATTGAAAGTGAAACATGTATACAGTATGTACATGCACAA